GTCATGGCTTATTTTATTAGCAGAGCCACGGCTGATTTGGAAATGATTTACCACATAATCCACCATCACTCATATAGTTAACAGAGTCATTTCACTTGCATGTTCAATGTTGTTATCAACTGTGGACATGGATGAATATTTTAGTGTAACCAGAGTACAGATAAGTTTTGACTCATCCTCATACATGTACATATACACATAATGTGGAATTAAAAGATAATGGACCTTTTACCACAGTATTTTGAATCCCCTCTTATGTACCACATCACAGAGAGAATTAAAAACCTTATGGTCATTTACTTCCATTGCTTCTCTCTTATCTATCCTGCGTGCTTTGTTCTCATACATTATACTTCTATGTATGTTATAAATCCTAAAACACATTGTTAATATTTTTGCTTTAAATGGTTATCTTTCACAGTGTCTTAGTTATCTAGTACAGAAATAACACAAGTATTTCTTTATAGCTTTAAAAAACAAATTTATTCTCTTGCAGTTTAGGAGGCTAGAAGTCCTAGTTCAGTGCACTGGCTGTAGAGAAGGGTCCTTGGTGTCTTCTAACATCTGTAGGCCCAGCATTCCTTAGATAGCTCCATGTATATTGGCATTGGTTTTTCATAGGATTTAGGAGCTTCACTGTTCAGGGACCCTAGGACCCAAGAACTCTGCTTTCTTGGTAGGCCACAATCCAGGAAAACTACCCTTACATCTGATCAGGGCTGTGATGGGAAATCCTTTTACTGGTTTATTACATCAGATCACATCATTCGAGATCATCATATAACTGCCACATTACATTAATATACAACCATGAAACCACTGAAAATCATGTCCCAACTAAGGTGATGCATATTTTCTGTGAATGCAATTCAATTCATGACACACAGCAATTAAGAAAAGAGATTTTCAGTATTTACTTACATGTTTATCATTGCCTTGTATAAAGCCATACTTTTATCTGGTACTAACTTCTTTTTGCCAGAAGAATTTCTTTTAACATTTCTTATGCTGTAGAGCTGCTGGTGATGAATTCTCTCAACTTTTGTTTGTCTGAAAAAGAGTTTATTTTCTCATCATTAAAAGGCAAAAATATTTTCTCACCTAAGTATAAAAGTCTAGATTGACAAATTTTTGTTTTTATTTTGTTTTTTTTTTTCCTTCTAGTATTTTAAAGATGGTGCTTTATTTTCTCTGGCTAATGTAAGTTGACAATATGTCTGTTGTCTTTTTTATCTTTGTTCTACTGCAATGTAATAAAGATTTCTGTCTGGATTTTTAAAATTTTTTTCTTCTTTTTTAAAACTGTTACTGATTTTTTAAACCTAATTGACTTATGATGGTCCTTACTTTATTTTTGTTCTCTTATTGTCTTGGATCTGTAGGTTTATTAGTTTCATCAAACTTGGAAAGTTTTTGTGATTAATTCTTGAAATATTTTTCTGTATATAACTCTCTCATTTTGAGACTCCAATCACACATTTATTAAACAGATTCACATTGTCCCACAAGTCACTTGTTGTTCTTCTTTCTTTCTGTACTTAATTTTGAAACATTTCTACTGTATGTCTTCAATGTCATTGATCTTCTACAATGCCTATTCTTGTAATTCCATCCAGTGTACTTTTCAATTCATATATTGCATTTTAATGTCTACAAGCTCCATTTGGAGTTTTTAAACATCTTTGGTTTTCTTTTCATGATTCTCATGTTTTCGTCTATAATTTGAGTATATGGAGTGTGTTTATTATTGTTATTGTCAGTTCCAACTCATAGTGACCCATATAGGGTTTCCGAGGAGCAGGTGGTAGATTTGAACTGCCGACCTTGTTGTTAGCAGTCCATTGCTTATCCTACAGTATCGCAACAGGACTCCCAAATCTTACTTACTCTTTTTAAAAAAACTGTTAAAATTACATTACTTCTGTCCCTGCTGGTTCTGGTTATATGTATTGATTTTGTTATGGGGATAGTTGATATTTTTCAATTTTGTATGCTGGGGCAGGGAAGGAGATACTGGGTATTATGAAACTTAAAATTGTGCATGTTGAATGTTGTTGTATTCCTTTGAAAAGTATTTGACTTTGGTCTGGCTTTCAGTTACGTTATTGGGATTAGTTCATTCTTTTGAGGCTTACTTTAAATATTTAGAGGGTAGGAATATTTTACAGGGCACCCCTTAATCTAGTGCTAATTTATACCAACTGCTATGGCACAGGGCTCTTCTGAGGACTGGATGCCGTTTGCATTGTGAGGCTTTCCATACTGCTTGGTAGAAGTGCAGTCAGTGTCTTGTCAGTCTTGTATTTCCTCTGTGAATTGCCTTGTCTGCTGCTTTCTGGTGGGTCTTTCCCTAGAATACAAAAAAATTATGGAAAAATTCCATTAACTTTTATTTTTCCATGAACTTTTTGAAACGTGCTATACACATAGTTATTTTTTGCCAAAGACTCAATTGAACCATTCTGTAGATCTCTGTTGCTTTCTCTGTGTGAAATCCCCTCTCTTCAGTATTCTGTCATGAAATTGTTAGCTGCATTAGCCTCTGTGAATTCCAGTCTCAATCACTTCAATTTACTGACCATTGGTCATTATTTGTGTTTCCTTTCCCTTTCAACAAACTGATGTAGCACCAGAGGCACTCACTCATCTGTGCCATGAAATTTGGAAGCAATCCATATTTATGCCAATTCCAAAGAGAGGTGACCCAACAGAATGCAGAAATCATTAGACAATATCAATAATATAACATGGAAGTAAAATCTTGTTAAAGATAATTAAAATACGACTGCAACAGTACATTGACAGGTAACTGCCAGAAAGCCAAGCCAGATTCAGACAAGAACAAGAATGAGGATATCATTGCTGATGTCATATGGATCCTGGCTGAAAGCAGAGAATTCTAGAAAGATGTATTATACCTGTGCTTTATTGACTAAGATGCACATCACCCAAGCCATGGTGTTTTCAGTAGCCTCATATACATGTGAAAATTGGACAATGAATAAGGAAACCTGTAAAGAATTAATGTGTTTGAGTTATGGTGTTGGAGAAGAATATTAACGATACCATAAGCTGCCAGAAGAACAAACAAATCTGTGTTGGAAGAAGTACAACCAGAATGCTCCTTAGAAGTCAAGATCGCGAGGCTTCATCGCTCATACTTCAGACTTATTATCAGGTGAAGGACACCATGCTTCATAAAATGGAGGGACCGCGAAAAAGAGGGAGACTCCCGACAAGATGGATTGGCACAGTGGTAGCAACAATGGTTCAAGGGTTACAGCAATTTTTACAATGCTGCAGGACTGGGTGGTGTTTCGTTCTGTTGTGCATACAGTCACTGTGGGTCAGAATCCACATAATGGCACCTGACAACAACTACCTATCCTACGGCCTGGAAATGAAGCTGCAACTGGCTAAAGTAACTTCATCTTGTAAGGAGAGAGATCATTAGTGCTAACCTTGATCTGCATTTTCCTTTAGGTTAATTAGTGCTTAACATCCACCCTGAGGGAGTTATAGGAATAAAGAAGTTCCTGAAGTTCCCCTGAGAGGTTGGCACAATTTGAGATATGCAGAATGATGAAGAATTTTCTGAATGTTCTTGGGCCTCCACTCTATGCCCCAAATCACTATAAATGCTCTTTTTCCCTTTCTTCTCGGGGACACAGTCTTTGGAGGACATGTATATATGTATATTTGGAGGACATGTATATTCTGCCTCCATATATACCTGTGTGTTAAACCTCACTTGCTTTTCCATACCCCTGTATCCAACACCTGCTCTTCTGCAGGTCACACAAGCTGCCATTTTGTGGCAGTGGCAGCTACCTCCAGGCAGTAAGATAGGACAATCATAGGGCTCACCTCATTGGTTTCCATTCTCTGAGGGATCACAGTACTGTGCTGCCTGTCTGCCAGTATCTAAAAGATGGCATTTCATAGATTTTGTCTAGTTCCTGGTTGTTTAAGGTGGGAAAGTAAAGCTGATTCTTGTTATTCCTCATAGTTATATATGAAGAAGTCCCTCATAGTGCACACGGCATCAAGGAGAATCCTCAGAAGCACTGTACCCTCACAGTTAGTCTAAGTTAGCACGAGATTAAGAGGTCCCTGTGGAATTGTGGTATTGTGCTTTAGAATAAGTACTGGAATGCTATTCACAAGGCGGCAGTTCAGACTCACCAGTCACTCCTCAGAAACTGTACACAGGATCACTATGAGTTGGAACCAACTCAGTGACACACAACAACAAGGGGTCCCTGAATATAAAGAACTCATTATATTTTTAAAAGGTTATTCAGGAGAAATAATTTGAAATAATGCCTTTTTAAGAATGTTAATATGACTGTACTTTATTTGAGGATCCCTCATGGTACACTAGTGCTCGACTTCTAACTGAAAGGTCTGCAGTTCAAATCATCAGCTGCTCAGCAGGAGAAAGACGCGGCAGTCTGATTCCATACAGATTTACAGACTTTGAAACTCCATAGAATTGCTGAGTTCTAATTAACAGGAAAGCAACAAGTTTATTGGGTTATTTTTAAAGTTCAAGGAGCCCCCTTGTAACACTATAGGATAAGCACTGGACTGCTAACTACAAGGTCAGCAGTTCAAACCTGCCAGATGCTCCATGGGAGAAGGATGAGACTTTCTGCTCCTGTAAAAATTTAAAGCCTCAGAAACGGTATACAGGGTCACTATGAGTTGAAACCGACCTTTGATAGGAAGATGTACTAAAAGATGATTGCAAATAATGAAAGGGGTGAGGTATTACATAAAATGTTAGTAGGGGTAAGAATGGAACTGAAAGAACATATCTAAAAAAATATTTTTGTAGGAAAAATAGGGCTCAAGAATGGGTTTATCTGTGGTGTGAAAGTGGAATGGGATAGAAATCATAGTTGGCTGTAGTAGAATGCTAACATTAGTGGAATAGTGATACAATTAAAAGAAAGAATTTTAAGAATTATTAAATTCTCTTAACTCTTGCATTTTAGGAGATGGTAACAGAAATGTATTCTGGGCCTTGTGTAGCAATAGAGATTCAACAAAGTAATTCCACAAAGACGTTTCGTGAATTCTGTGGACCAGCTGATCCTGTAAGTTATTGTTTAAAATGCTAATCAAATCCATGTTGACTGTTCACTAAACATTTTAACAGGTGTTATAATTTTTTCTTCAAACAAATAATATAAGAGAATTGTTTCACATATTATGACAAAAGTTAATATAATAGACAATATTGCATTGAAATATTATTTTACTTAATTTATTTTTCATATAATACTATTTTTAAAAAAATAAAATATTTGTATTAGTCCATCAGCAGTTCAAGCTCACCAACCTCCTCGGAAACCCTACATAGGGTCACTGTGAGTAAGAATCGACTCCACTGTAGTTAACAACAGCAAGAACAATATGGAATGCTGGTGTGGTGCTTTAGGATAAGCTAATCACAAGGTCAATGGTTCATACCCACCAGCCCCTCCTTAGAAGTCCTATACAGGGTCACTATGAGCTAGAACCCACTCTAAACAGTTACAACAGGGACAATATATAATGATCAGAAACATTTCCTGTGACACTCTATTGTTTCTTCTTGCTAAATTGTATAAGTAAGTAAATTTGCAGTCTCTGTGATAGAAATTGTTTAGGGTATTATCCTTTGACTTTGAGGCCAGAAATAAAATTCTCAATGTGAAGAATATAAATATGGGGATCTCATACATGATACACAAATAAATAGGAACAATGAAACTTATCTGAAAGATGTATTCTTTAGTATTCTTTCAATTTGCTTTGATTTTTCTTTTAAAGAGCATTTGGCCTAGGGGAAGTTGAAAACCAGAAGTTACATTAGAATACTTATCAGAAGCCTTCTTGTAAATTTTATACTTGAAAGGAATATGGGAAGTACAGTGGTTAAGAGTCAGGCTACCAACCTCAGGGTCAGCAGTTCAAAACTACCAGCAGTTCCCTGGGAGAAACATGAGGTGTTCTGTCTTATAGATTTACAGCCTCGGAAACCCTGTACAGGGTCACTGTGAGTCGGGACCGACTCTAAGGTACTTAACAACAACAACTGATTTAAAATACTAATTATAATTTGAATGTACTTATTTCCTTTGTTTCATCATCACTTATAAATGGATTACTGAAGATGAATAACCAATTCAATTGAGTTTAGTTTGTTGTTGATGTTAGGTGCCATCAAGTCGGTACCAATTTATAGCGACCCTGTGCACAACAGAATGAAACACTACCTGGTTCTTCACCAACCTGACAATTATTGATACATTTGAATCCATTGTTGCTGCCACTGTGTCAGTATATCTCGTTGGGGTCTTCCTCTTTTTCCCGACCCTCCATTTCACCAAACATGATAGCCTTTTCCAGGGTCTGGTCCCTCCTGACAATATGTCTGAAGTATAAGAGATGAAGTCTGGCCATCCAGACTTCCAAGGGGCATTCTGGCTATACTTTTACCAACACAGATTGGTTTGTTCTTTTGACATTCCATGATACTTTTAGTATTCTCCTCCATCTCCATAGTTCAAATGCATCAGTTCTTCTACAGTTTACCTTATTCACTGTCCAACTTTCACATGCATATGAGCTTATTGAAAATACCATGACTTGGGTCAGGTGCACCTTAGTCCTTAAAATGACATCTTTGCTCTTGAACATTTTAAAGAGGTCTTGGGCAGCAGATTTATCTAGTGCAATATGTCATTGATTTCCTGACTGCTGCTTCCATGAGTGTTGATGATTGATCCTAGCAAAATGAAGTCTTTTCTCCATTGATAAGATGTTATTTATTGGTCCATTGGTGAGGATTTTTGTTTTCTTTACATTGAGATAACCTATATTGAAGGCTGAGGTCCTTGACCTTCATCAGAAGGTACTTTAAGTCCTTTTCGCTTTCAGCAAGCAATGTTGCATCATCTGCATGTAATAGGTTGATAAGGAGTTTTCATCCAATCCTGATGCCATGTTCTTCTTCATATAATCTAGCTTCTCAGATTATTTACTCAGCATACAGATTGAATAAGTTTGGTGAAAGAGTACAACCCTGTGACACACCTTTCCTGATTTTAAACCTTTCAGTCTTCCTTTGTTCTGTTCGAACAACTGTACAGGTTCCTCATGAGCACAACTAAGTGTTCTGGAATACCCATTATTCACAATGTTATCCCTAGCTTGTCATGATCCACACAATCGAAAGAATTTTCATCGTCAATAAAGCACAGTAAACTTTTGTCTGATATTCTCTGCTTTCAACCAAGATCCATTTGACATCAGCAGTGATATTCCTCATTCCATGCCCTCTTTTGAATCTGGCTTGAACCTCTGGAAATTCTCTGTTAGTGTATACTTTCAGCCATTGACAGTTTTTAAATTATCTTTAGAAAGTTTTGCTTGCATGGGATATGAATGATATATTCTGGTGATTTCCGCATTCCGTTGGGTCACCTCTCTTTGCAAAGGACACAAATATGGATCTCTTCTAGTCTGTTGGCCTGGTGGTTGTCTTCCAGATTTCTTGGCTTTGATGAGTGAGTACCTCCAGTGCTCCATCAGTTTGTTGAAAGATTTCAATTTGTATTCCATCAATTCCCGGAGACTTGTTCTTTGCCAATGCCTTCAGTGCACCTTGGACTTCTTTCTTCATTATCATTGGCTCTTGATCATATGCTGCCTCTTCAAATGGTTGAACATTGACCATCTCTTTCTGGTACAGGAATCCTTTGTATTTCTTCCACCTTCTTTTGATGCTTTCTACAGTATTCAATATTTTACCCATAGTATCCTTCAATAGTGCAAGGGATAGCATTGCACAATTAAGTGTTCCGGAATACTTAATACTTCACAATGTTGTCCATAGTTTGTTATGACCCACACAGTTGAAAGCCTTTGTGTAGTCAGTAAAGTACAGGTAAATATGTTTCTGGTACTCTCTGCTTTCAGCCAAGATCTATCAGACATTAGCAATGATATCCCTCATTCCATGGCCTCTTCTGAATCCTTTTTGAACCTCTGGAAGTTCTCTTTCAATGCATGCTTGCAGCCGTTTCTGTATTAGCTTTAGTAAAACTTTATGTGCATGGGATATCAAAGATACTGCCCGATGTTTTCTGCATTCCACTGGGTCACCTTTCTTTGGAATGGGCACAAATACAATCAGTTGGCCAAATAGTTGCCCTCCAGATTTCCTGGAATAGATGAATGAGTGCCTCCAGTGCCGCCTCACTTCCCTGAAATATTTCAATTTTTATTCCATTGAATCCTGATGCCTTGTTCTTTGCAAGTTCCTTCAATGCACCTTGGACTTCTCCCTTCAGTATTATTGGCTGTTGATCATATGCTACTTCTTGAAATGTTTGAACGTCAACCATTTCCTTTAGTACAGTGACTCTGTGATTCCTTCCATCTTTTTTTGATGCTTTCTGCATCATTCAATAATTTGCCCAGAGAATCTTTCAATAATGAAAGTTGAGGCTTTACTTTTTTTCTTCAGTTCCTCTAGCATGAGAAATGCTGAACATGTTCTTCCCTTTTGGTTTTCTGACTCCTGGTCTTTGTACATTTCATTGTAATAATAAACACTGCTAATTTCTATATCAAGACATATCAGGACTTGTCAGTTACTACTTTTAGAACTAACTGCTTCTTCACTTCCCAGTTGTACTTCTGCTTTCAAAATCTCACAATTAAATACTAAGTTGTTGTTGTTGTTAAGTGCCATTGAGTCAGTTCTAACTCATAGTGACCCTGTATAGGATTTTCGAGGAGCAGATGATGGGTTTTGACTGCTGATCTTGTGGTTAGTAGTTCAATTTTTACACTACAACACCATAACCAGGACTTTAAGTGCTAAGCTAGTATCCTACAATCTTAAGAACAGTGAATCATCTCTTTGTGTTAATTTGATATTAACACACAGATATAAATAAATACACTAATGAAAATTTAAATTAAATTGTTTATTACTTCTTCTTCATACGTGAAATTAAATAAGACCTCTGCATGTTAAAGGTATCTTGGAGAAAATTACAAAGACTTTTTATTCTTTCCTCATATAATGTAATCCTAATAAGGATACCTTATTTAATGCCCAGAATCTTTTTTTCTAGTCAAAGAATCTTTGATATGCTTATGAGACTTTAACTTGGACCTATTGTCATATTTTTGCAATGGCAAAATATCCAACAAAAGTTTTGGTGATTTCTGAATGAAAAAAGGAACCTAAGGGACTTGGAGGAACCCCACATATTTCATAGTCATGTTTTCAAACCAGACTGCCCTTTTCTTTGTCAAATTATACTTCAGAGAAATAGTTGCCGGTTTTTTTTTGTTTTTTTTTTTTAAAGACAGTTTTAAAAGGGAATTACACATTAAAATTTCATTTTATTAAATAAATTCCCTTTTGAAACCATTTGCTTCTATGACATCTTCTGAACTTTCACCTTGAACTTCTTATTTTCTCACTGAAATCATTAATGCCTGGTTTATCTCCCTGGCTTGCCTCCCAACTTCCAAAATGTATTGAGGACGAAGGTTGTCTTATCTCCTAATGGTGATAGTCTCAGATGACTTGTCTGGATGTGTAGATCTGTTAAAAAAAACCAAAAAAACAATATGCTTGTACACACCACAGAATAACTAACTGCAGTGGCTGCTCACATACCACATAGTATGTCCTGCAAAGGGAATGGACAGCATTGTGTATTCTGGAGTCTGGGAGTTAACAGAGCTTCCACTATTGTGTGTATGTATTTTCAAGTCAGTTTTGTGTATATATTTTCTTTGAAGAGATTTTACTTATTTTATCAGATAATTGTACGGGCAAACAACTGAAATGATTTTAACTTGAGCACATCTTGTACATGTATGAATATTATCTCATCATTTTGTTGTTGTTAAGTGCCATCAAGTCGGTTCTGACCCATAGTGACCCTGTATAGGGTTTCCAAGGAGCCCCTGGTGAGCTTGAACCACCGACCTTGCAGTTCAAACGACTTTGCAGTCTGGTGCATTAGCCCACAGCACCACACCAGGATTCCTATTGTATCATAGACAGTATTATATTTCAGGATAG